TGGCATGAGCTCCGCTCTTAATGTGATGCACGGACACATGATCGAATATTGAGATGTAACATCCATATAGTCACACCGGAAAATTAATTATATGCTTGTAATACATCCCGAAATAGATTATGTAACGATTATCCCAAATATAGTACAACTCATTATCAATAAACCAGCTATCTTTCTATCGCTCGGCTATGTATGTTCCACGAGACACGGAGTGTTATTTCTCCGAAATACTTCTATGTCGATCCTACCCGTGATGTGATTGGTTGATAAATTTCCGACCGTTAACGGTTTTTAATTATTCTGATTGGATGGATCACTACTCTGGAGAATAGGTCCTATTACGAAGCTTATTTTTACGATGTTTTCGGATAGGAGATACAATCTTTTTCTTTTTAACATGAACACGATGAATCGGAGATTCGAGGCTCTGCCTCTTCTTTCGGGGTTTTATTGGGTCGAGATCATACCAGTCTGAATCCGTGGATTCTGAATCGGAGCTGGATGAATCAGTCTCTGTCTCAGATTTTATCCATGGTAGCTTTGCTTTATTTATACAACTTAGTTCATATTCAATAATACGAAGTTTTTCAAAAACTCCATACTCTATATCATTTTCTATAGAATGAACCGACTTCCAAATATTATTGAGGTGCGTTTTTATTGAAAGATTTCCACATCCATCGCCTAAATCTATCTTGGGATATTTCTTAATCTTACCAGCTCCGCTATTTTTGGAAACATCATCATTTAATCTTCTGGGTGTTGGAGGTACGGGAGGTATATTGTGAAATATTCCGTGATGGCTCTTTTGGTGTTTAATATATTGGGCACCTGAGAGAATTTTCTTGATTGTATTCGCGACCTCCTCTGAAGTTAGACCGTATTTAGACTCCGTTGAATTAGATAAGTTATTTTTAACGGAGCTGGTCTTATTTTCTTTGATTAATGGGATACTCATACCATCTATTACAATTCTAGCATGACGGGTATAAGTTTTGGGGGAATATTCAAAGCTTATTTTTGCTTCACGCATCCATAACCAGTCTTGTCCCAGCACCAGATCAAACGATGGATTTTTGCGAATTTGGAAGTCTATTACTTCAGTATTACCTAAGCCCCGCCACTTTCCTTTATAATGGAATTGTAAATCTAGGTCTTTTATTTCTTCGCCTATTATATCTTCATCGAGTAGACCTTCTAATCCGTGATCAGACTCAAGCTTATTATACAAGCACCTGCTAATAGTATTGGATTTAGATGTTGTATCGATTAATGCTTTTACTGGAATTTTTCCTTCGACGAGTGTATCAATGAAAAACATGTCAAATATTATTTAATGATGTATAATATAACCGAAAAAATAACTCGGTAAATAATTAACCATTCTCCACTGCTAAATAAAATTATTTGTAACCCACGTTGGAGGATTCTCTCTGAGATGATTAATAATTGCAGAAATAAAATCTGTTTCATCTGATATATGACTCAAATAGTAGTCTCTAAAGGTCCTGGTTATAGCTATCCCATTTCGTCGACCAGTAAAGATTGGAATAAGTGGAGGTAAATCAGAAACGGAAAATTCATCATCGGAATAATCTGGAATAAGTGGGGGTAGATCAGAATCCGAGAATTCATCATCAGGATAATCTGGATGTTTAATTTTAATTTTTGAATTAAGTTTCTTTATCACTTCTTTGCTAATCCCTTTACATCCCTCCAAACTAAGATATTTCAAATTATTACAGTTGTGGGCTATTTCCTCAAGAGCTTTATTACTAATCGAACAATCGCCAAACTCAAGATGTTTAAGTTTTGAACAAGAACGCGCTATTTCAGTGATACATCGATTAGTGAGACATATACATGAATTAAGACTCAGATGTAATAGCTTTGGGCAATATCTTGCAATTTCTATAATTGGTATATTAGTGAAACCCTTACTTTTGTCAAGAATAAGAGTACATATGTCTGGACACGAGCGTAAAATTGTACTAATCAATGCATCAGAGATTTTTAAACCTTCTAATCTGAGATATAACATCGTTGAACAATAGAGAGGTTTTGTCTTTCCACACATAACTTTTTTAAATTTCAATAATCGCCAATAAATAGTCTGAGGTTTCTTTCGACCATACAGACCTCTCTGATAATCTTCGTTGAAAAACTCAACGCGACGCCATAGAATAGGAGCACCGCAGTGATACCAAAACCGATTAACAAACAAAGCGGGATAGAGGGATTGATCGATTTCTAAAAAATATAAGATCTGTTCTAGTAATTCGGGTAAATCAAAAATATTTAGTTGTGCCATTTTTAAATTGTATATTATATATCTTTAATCGGAAAAAAACAGCTAATGTTCGGATAATTAATCTAGACGCATATATCATTTATTTTTCTGATATTCTCAACCGCGCTTAACTTTGCAACCAGCTCATCTAATGATAGGTCTGTTCCGCATCTTCTGGCTTCCATCTGGTTATCAGGTGACAATCCACGGAGGAAGAAATATCTAAGCCGTTCTTCATTGTATCCGGCTAATTTACCACATTTTTCTACTTTTGCAAAATACTCCATTACTGATTCGTTTCCTTGCTCCAATTCCCCAAATCGGAATTTTTGAATATCGGTAGGCCCGGTTGAATAAATTTTAAATGCTCACTTATTTTATTTATAGGCTCCTTAATCCCAAATCGGATCGCATTTATTTGATTCTCCGGTGACAAACCATTGATAAATTTTTCTTTAATCTTTTCATCATCCATATCTAACCCCAATGATAATTTTATTCATTTGAAGTATTCACCCACAGACTTATCGAGTTGTATAGGCGGTGGAATATCTTCGGTTTTTTCAGGTTCTGAAACTGGAGAGCTCAGATATGATTCTCGCATTGTTTATTTTCGTAAATATATATATATAATGTATTTTTTACTTCGTATTAATAATAATTCAACTATTACGATGGCCGAAGTTAATAATCCCGAGACAATGCAAAGTCTCTGTAAAAAATTTGAAGCAATGTTAAAGCAACAGAGTGTAATTGATTCTTTCTCCGATAATATTTTTTTATGCGTATATAAATGATTAAAAGATTAAGATCAGGTGCTACACAATTATCACCCGAAGCAATTAGTGATATAATTACTGCTAAGGATTCAGCAAATGCCTTACGGAATCTAGCTAAAAAATATAATGTATCATATGAACGAATTCGTGAAATATGGGAATTCGCTATTGCGATAAATAATTAATATTTATTGTATTATGAAATTTTAAGCATATATGCTATGGATTTCCCAGATATTCTCAATTACACTTAACCTCGCAACTAGTTCCATTGAGCAACGTAAGAGTTTTATTTGGGAAGTCTACTTTCATTGCATTTTCCTGGAACCATGGCTGACCCAATATTAGTACAGAATCAAATTCGGGTTTATTGGTAACGAAAACATCGGTAACTTTTACTTGTTTCCATTTAGGGCCCTGAGACAGGATTGAAATAGGGATTTCACGAATTACTCCTACTACATCGAGTTTGCCAATGGGTGTGTATACTTCTACATCAGAGATATCATCGATTTCTAAACCTAATTCATTTATCACATCCTCAGCTATAATATTACAATTGCTGGCGGTACCTAATATAGTTTTAACTGGTACTTTGTTAATTTCGCAAGATAAAATTCTCATCGTGTTTTATTATAACAATATATTTAATTCTGCATTTTTAAATTCGTATTAATAAATAATAATTTCGCATTTACAATGACTGAAGCTAATAGCAATATTGGACCGGCTCATCAGAATTTACAAGAGAATGATAATGAAATCGCATCGCTAATAGAATCAGTGAAAAAAATATCAATATTGATCAATGATAGGGATACAGAAGTAGTTTGTGATTCGGGTTCAGAATGTCCAATTATCACTTATGAGGTTGCGAAAAAATTGGGTTTCGAAAAAGATAAAAGTTTACCCAATAGCGAAGCTAGTGCCAAGGCACATATTACTGATAACGCGGTATCTGGTATTGTTAAACAGATATCACATAGAAGAATTTCAATTTCTCTTCACCAATTAATGGAAATAGTGAAACCCGAGATTGGGCTAAAGATTATTGACTTAATAGCAAATCCAGATATTTCTCGAAGAAATCGTACACCATCTAAGGCTAAAAGAAAAAAGAGATTTTTAAATGATACAACATCTTCGTCCTCATCTTCGCCTTCATCTGGGTCCGATTCTGAATCCTCTTATGATAATGAAGATTTTACTGTAGATGTGGTAAAAGTAAAGAAGCGTGATTAGTAATTGTATATATTTATAATATCTGATATTTCAATATTTTCTTATCTAGTCGCTGGAATAATTGGTCTATCATTCATCACACCATAATGATCTGATGTTATATTAATTACCTTGTGTCTTAATGCTAATTGACGGAGACGTTTATGATGGCCATCGTTCTTACCTCCATGAATTGTAATAGCATGTTCAGAACCAATTTTTCTCAAATGCGATGAGCTTATTCCATAAATTGCTAGAAAATTATTAATTGGGTGGACGTTTACATCACCATCTTTATCTCTTATTAAAAATGGGAATTTATTAGGAATTGCTTTCTGGATCCAAATAAGTAATTCTCTAGCCAGTAGTGGATCTTTCTCCATAGATACTAATGGTCTAGGTTCGTCTTTTTTATTTTTGGCATATCCAGTGCAGTACCAAGAATATTTAGGATTATACCATTCAGTAGTATCTACTTTATAATACTTAATACAGAGGTTTCCCACATCTGCCGGTCTCATACATAACATTATCATTATATCGATTAAATTTTGCATAGAGGGAGGTTTTGTTATATCACACTTACTAAGTCTTTCCTGAACATTTTCCAGATAAAAGAATTCTGGACAATCGAACCCCTCGTCTTCACGGAGTTCCTGATTTATTGCTTGTTCTTTATTTGATTTTTGAGTAATATCGGGTATATATATTGCTTCTAATGTAAGATAATCAGCATCGAGATTGCGTAATTCTTTTCGGAGCAATTTAAGACGCGATGATTGGGCTATTACGGTAGGAGCTGTTTTAGCTAAGTTATATGCTAGCGTATTTATCTCTTCGGGTTCAAGATTATCTTCATTTTCCTTAATATATTGAGCGAGCTTTTCAATCGGGTCTCGCCCTGTAACACGCCTTCCGGAAGCCTGGATAGGAATTAAAGCATATGTTTGATCTCTGCTAAATCCTAATTTTTGGATTCTATTCCGAGCATGATTACGGGCTTTATAATCTTTAATTTCTTTACATATTTTTTCAGCATAATTACCAAGCTCAGTGATACTCATCTGAGGAGTTAAGTTATACTGATTTACGAAATTTGTAGCTACCTTTGACATTGTTAATACGGTATAATTTTGCGGACTATAACTATGAAATATATTTTTTCAATTTAAAATTAATTATCCCGGGTTGGTATATATACCCAAAAATTGAATGGGTTGCCGTTAATATAATTATACCGGAAAATGGACGTAAACAAGACACAAAATAGATCGAAGGTTTTAGAATCTGTAGCTCTACGAAATAAAATTAATGAGAATATTAATGGGATCAAAGAAGATATAGCATTACTTAGAGAGGTCCTGGAAAAAATAATCGATATATGTCAAGCATATAATTATAGTTCATGTCTATAATCGGGTAAGTCAGGTATATGATTCTCAAACATAGCAATTTGTATATGCAATTCATCCTGCTTTTTTCTTTGATAATTCTCTTTACTTTTATATTTGCCTACATGTTTATTGCATGCATTATATTTAGACCTATTTGGCTCACCACAATCCTGCCTTCTCGCATATACTCGAAGCCAGAAAAAAACACATGACTCCGTTCTATTTCGGAACACAGATGCCAAGAAAAATTCCCTATAACAATATATCAAGGTATTTCACTTAATTTTATAGTACTTTATGCCTCATATAGAGAATATCTATTCTCATGATTATATTTTGCGAGTAATTCAGCTTGTCTCTTTTTATGATAATTTGATTTGTTGCGATATTTTCCAGCATGTTTAACACACATACCGTATGTAGAGGCAGTTGGTGTGCCACATTCTCCACAAGGAACCCGTACTTGCATTTTCCAATGAAGAGCACAACCCTCTTGTCGATAACAACCTTTTCCACAAATTCGTCCATCAATATAAATATGTGGGCAAGAATAGAATGCCATTACTAATAACAATAATTTTCAAATTTTGCATATATGAAATAATTATTTTTCGAATTAAACTTTTTATGTCGCTTTTATTATAAGTTGATAAACCAACGCATTATATACTTTTTGTCAGATCAAACAACGCACATATACAAACAACATATATACAAATCAATAAAATGAGTTTGTCTAGTGAAGCAAAAAAACGTCTTCATGAATCGTTACAGCAACAGTGCTTAAATCAAAAGTCAGCCGAATATAATGAAGCAAAACGGCTTTTTATGGGTTTAACAAATCTTGATTATAAACCTGGCCATAAAGAACATACATTTTATAAATACTGGCTTGCATCCAGGCCCGAAGGGGCGATGAATCGGAAATTCGAGACTCTGTCTCCCCTAAAGGGTCATGGCCATACTGATAAAAATGATACTGCACTTTTAGATGCATATCGACCTGAGGATATTCATTCTCAATATATAATTCAGATGGCAGGAAAAGGTTATACAGTGATCGATCATCCTAGCGAAGTTTATAGAATACCTGATACTCACGAATGTATTGATGGGAACCAGCCCCTCCGCTTAATTATCGATATTGATGCAAGGCAAAAGCCCGATCCTACAAATCCTAAAGTGCCTTCTTTAGATGGTGAAAAAATTACCCGAGAAGATTTGATATCTCGAATTTTAGTCGCTTGTGCAGATGCATTAAGCCTTATTCCCGATTGTATGCCTTTCTTAAATTCTTTTGCCTTAGCTAGTTCATCAAACGCTGAGAAATGCAGTTGGCATATTATTTATCCTCGTGCCCAATTCATAGATTATAAAGAACTTAAGGGATTCACAGAAAAAGTTATGGAATTAGTTGGGGAACCTTATTCGAAATTTATTGATAATGGCCTTCCCAAAATACATTTTAATCTTCGGCTTCTGGGATCAGCTAAGGAAGGTCGTATTAAAAGACCTGCTATTTCTTCCGTTAAAAACGGATTTAAAAATCTAGATGATTATCTGGTTCAGCCTAAAGAGAATTATTCCGTGATCTGGCCACGAACTTTTTCTTCCGAGGAGCCAGTAAAAGCGGAATTTAAACCTATTGATGACGATGATGCTTTGGTTAAAGGAGCTAATTTAGCTATTGCAGAGTATGGGTGGCTCCAGATTGGAAGAATTGAGAAGGGATTCATTAACTTTCAAGCACAATCTGTATTATGTAATAATGAGCTCCGCTCTAAAGAATGTCCTATATGTGATGTTAAGCATGATAAAGATCAACTCTATGGATTTATTTGTCAAAATGGGTATTTCGTACTTAAATGTTATCGCCAAAAACAATATAAGCCGGATCATAAGGGGCTGAGCTTTGGTAAGGTATCAGATAAAGTTGAATCAGAAGTAAAGCCTAAGAAGTGGGGGTTATGTGAAAGATTACCCAAGGCTGTAAAGCATCCACACCCACTTGTAGATTTATCTGGAAATAATATTAACGTTAAGGAAATGAAGGACGCCCCAGAAGCTTATCCGGATTTCATGAGTGAGGAATCCACTACAACCCTAATTCGCTCACCTGTCGCCAGCGGAAAAACAAAAACTTTAAGAGAGATTCTTGATTCTTTAGCCAAAAGTGAAGCAAATTTACCTTGTTTTAACTGGGTTTCATATCGTAAAACTCTTAGTAATGAAACTAAAAGTAAAATCGAAGTATTACAGAAATCCGGGCTTCGTGTATGCCATTATCAGGAAAATGAAGGTAATTTAGCTATACGTGACTGGGATGTTATTATTGTTCAGGTCGAAAGTACACATCGTCTTAATTTCCATGGGGGTCGTTCTCATGTAGTTATTTTAGATGAAGCGAATGGTATTATGCGTCAAATGGCAAGTGGAATCCATGCACGAGAATCTGAAAATGCCATGCGGGATTTGTTAAAGTCGGCTGTTCACGTGGTTGCCATGGATGCTTTTGCAAATGAGTCGACTTTAGCCTTCTTAAGACAATACCGGGGTGAAAACATCCGAGT